CTTAGTGATCTTGGATGCAAAATGAGTATAAAACTTTATTATATAAATAGTCATATTGACCAGTTGTAATTAAACAATATAATATGCAATCTCTTTTAAAATTAAAGTAAAACATGATTTTGTTCTTGATCAATAAAAAGTTGATAACTTTTCTAGGACTGGGATATTTATAAAATGTTCATTTTAAACAGCTCGCATTTTATTTTCATCTGTTTTCTGCTATTGTTTTAGCTTTGTAAATAACTTTATTGTAAAATATATGTCCTAGCATTTCCAAATGAGTTTCAAATCTGTATTTTAGATCTATTTCTAATGTTTTGCAAAATGAAAAAACATTTATTGCAAAAAATCTGTAGCTTTCCATAAAAATCTGATGCCAGATTTGAATTCAGCGTATCAAAATTATGTAAGAACAAGTGTTAAATTTAATGCAATAAATTTTTTGTAGATCTGTGTAATCAATCTACGCAAGCTACGCAAGACCAGCTTCAACTTTTCGCACGTAAGCCATTGAGCATGTGCGTTACTAACCCAATCAACACCAAAAGAATAACATAAACGAATGGGCTCTTCTGTCGGAATAATATTTTATTTTTGAGTCTTCAATCCTTTTTTTTTTTTTTTAGTTTTAGATGGCTGACTTGCTTTCAAAGGCTTTTTTTCGTTTAATTTTTTTTTTGATTTCGTTTCTATATTTTAGCTGGTTAATTAATTTAGTTGAATAAGTGAGTTTGTTCTGATTCATTTAAATTTCGACAACAATCAAAACGTAACTTTTTTTCAAACCAAAACCTATATCTCTCACAAACTTTAAAAGATTGACAATAATTACCTCGATAGTTTGACTATTTTTTCTGGGTGCACCGGGTCTAACAAATTTGTATTTGCCTTTTGCTTGGTCGTGAATAGTTGATTTAGGCACAATGAAACATTTAGAAGCTTCTTCATGTGACATTGTTTTTTCATTAATGGCTTGAAGAGCTAACTATATTCGAGTTTCTTTCTCTATTTTTCGTTTTGATTAACCTGCATTCATTTTTTTTTTTTTTTTTCCATATATTTTTTACAACTACATAGTTTTAACAATAACTACTTTTATTATAAATAGTTTTAACAATATATACTTTTATTGTAAATACAGTCAAAATGCTTCGAAAATAACTGAAATAATATTAATATATATTTAATGTACAAAGTAATAAAATAAAAAAAAAATAGTTTTACAGTTTATATTTTGAAAAGACAAAATAAGTCTTAAAAAAGGAAAAAATAAACCTTTAGTTATGTAGTCACGGTAAACTCGCAGAATACTGCGTGAAGTCTTGTCATCGAGAACCTTTTTTTTAAATAATTTCAATAGAAATACTCATAACTTATTTTATTCATTACTTATTATATTTTTCAATATAATTAGACGTGTTATTAGGAAGGAGCATAACATAAAAAATAACATACATATATAAATATATGTTATATGTATGTATATTCAACTTGCTTATATATTTAAGTTTTAGATTTTTTTTTTTTGGAACATATGTTTGATATTTAAATTACTCTTAAGATATTAGAAAATTTGTCTTGTGTTAAATTTATTTATAAAAAAAAAAATATAAATTCGATATAATATGAAAGATTCAAAGCTTTTGTAAAAACCGTTTGTAATTAGGTTTCTTAACTTGACTTTTTCTTAGCTCAGCTTTGATGTTACAAATTTAGATATAATCTCTAATATAAAACACAATTGTTTTTTTGTTTTTTTACGTCAACATAATAACAACTTTGTAATTCGTAATTCATATTTGAAAAAATTTAAAACATATCGTCAATATGTAAGATATTGAATAACTAAGATTAAATAAAGGTTTTAAAAGTGTGTTAGTAATTGTTTATAATCAAAATCGAATATGTGTTGTTTTGTTGCACGCTTAAATTGTAAAATGGAAGTCATAGGCAGTATAAGCTGTGATAGGAAGTTATGTTAAAATTACTTGTTTTGAAGACATTAAGGAATCCAAGTTCTCTTATTAGAGGTTTTGCACTGGTGTTAGTTGGATAAGTATACGTACAGATTATGTTATAGTAATTGATGCAGAATTTCATTTCAAACAGATTTTATACAAACAACTACATCTAACACTTGGTTTTACATTGTCAAACCACGTGTTGGATGCAGTCATTCACATAAAATCTTACTTCAACCGAAAGATTTGATGCAAAGACTTTAACATCCCTAATTCAATGATATCAAAGATTGAAAATGAAATTTACCCAATAGATGTATGGAGTATATTATCCAACAGAGAGCAAAGATGACCTTCACGTATCGGCGGAGCTTTGTTAAATGTATCTAAAAAGTAAATACTGATGCTTTTTTTAAATTGTATTTAAGTAGAGATTAATACTGAAACAAAATAATTTTTGGATAAAAAAGTTCTACAATATTTTTTTTTTGGTTTGGTTTATTTCTGGTTTATTTTTAATTTAACTTTGGCTTCCAGCCGAAAAAAAACCAGGCAACTCTGTTCTTAGTAGAAACAACATATTTAAAGTTTTTTTTATCGATTATTTGAAGGTCGACTTAATGCTTGTAGATATATTGAAATTTTAGATAATTCCCTTCTTTAATGCTTGTTCAAAAAAGGTGGTTCTGCAAAATATTGAAATACTTTTTTTTTTATCGTTTTTCTTTTGCAAATTATTGTTTTGACATATTATTTGGAATATATCCTTAACTATTGTCCAATCTTTTTTTTTTGAACTAAATTAATGTTTCAATACTTTTTATTTTTTATAAATCATTATGTTTATATCTTTTTTTTGGATTTTACTTTTAATAACAAAAAATAAAACAAAAAAAAAACATTTTTGTTTTCAATTTAGTTTTCAAACTAAATTGAAAACTAAAATTTTAATTTAGTATTCAATTTCGTTAATTTAATTGATGGCAATGACGTAATGAAATGCTTAGTTTCTTTATTTTTACTAAATATTTCAACAGTTTTTCAATATTATCTAATTATATTTCAGTGTTAGAAAGTTATGACTATATGAAATTAATTTTAACTCCCTCATTTTGATCAAACTTTGCTCTCTAGAATACTTAAAAAAATATTAAAAAATAATACTAGGTATTTCATTAATTATTATAAATAGTAATAAAAAGAAAAAAACTAAATTTTATAATTCGAGATTTAATTCATGAATATATGGTTTACATGGGCCTTACATGCAAATTTTTTGAAATATTTTTATATATATAAATTCGGTTAGTGTAATCTAGTTTTGGATTTGACAAGCTGTTTTTCCTTCTGTAAGTTCATCATCTGGTTCTTCCTGTTGAACCTTCAGAAGGAGAAACAGCCTGTTGAAGACAAAATGAGTTTAATTTTTTTATTAATTAATTTTAATTTTTAATTAATTTAATTTTAAAATTAATTTTAAAATTAAATTAATTAAAAAATTAGATAAGTGTTTTTGCTAATTTATATATATATATATATATATATATTATATATATATATATATATATATATATATATATATATATATATATATATATATATATATATATAACATAATCACATCAATGTAATTATGTAATGTGGACTTTAAAGTAGCCTAGCAACAGCTAACAAAAATTAATATTGAAATAATATCTTTTAATCTTGAAAAAAAATTGAATACTAATATTAGTAAACATTCCTAAAAAGATAAAAAGTTCATCTATCTGTTCATCTGTATCTTTTATATTTAAAGGGGCACCTGCCCTGGCGCCCCTGTTATCTTGGCGCCAGGGCACGTATGCCCCTTTAGCTCTCCTCTATGCCCTTCCTCTCGGCGGCGCGCTGAGTAGTGCAATATCGAAACTAAAAGTTTTACAACATTGTGAAACGTTTTTAATTTATAGAAAGTTTAAGTTACACATTTAATGCATTTTTTATTAATACGCCATTTTGAAAATTTCAACAAAAGTATAAATTATTAAGTAAAATTATTTAACTTTTAAAAATAATTTTAGTTTTTAAAAACTTTTTATACCCTAAATAGTTACTGTCTCCGCCATTCAAAACTCATTATTCGCTGATTATTGACTATAACTCTGAACTTTATGTCTATTAATTTATGCTGATCATAATTTTGCAATAAATGTATCTAAATTTAAATACGCCTATTCCTATGTCAGTCGTCAATCGTACAGTAAAAATGCAGTACCTGAATCAAACTAATAATATATATTTTTTATATATCTTTTATTATTATTTTTATATATCTTTTATCAATATTTCTAGACACAAAATCAAGTATCCCGTTTTTGTAGAAATCTTGTTTTTGAGAATGAACCAATGATAAATTTATGTTATTTTCCAAAATCTTTTTATTATGAAATGAGTGATTATTGCACACAATCCATTTTTCATCACACTTTTATTAACATCCGGTTAAAGAACAACACTAAGTTGTGGCGGAAAAGCAACAATGAACAAATTTTTAGGCGCTTTAACTTGTTTGTTTCACTATATTCATGTGTTAATTTTTTTCTTAACTTCCATAGTTTCCCAAAATGGTAAACTGTTTCATTTCTCGCATCAAATCTTAAGCCAAGAGCTTAGCATGTCTGGCTTGAATCTTGCTTAATTTCCAGCTTTATATCGTGTTGTTGATCGTTGATGTTCTTCCAGAGCAAGGTTCATCTTTCAAATTTTTATTTTCAAATGTAAATTTCTGAAACCACATCTGATCCGTCCGTTCAGCTACAGTGCCTTCCTCAAAAACCGCGCTTTCTTACAACATACTTCTGCAGCTTTGGAGCCAAATTTGAATTCATTAATTAAACTACCCGAATTACCCCAACCTACATCCTATTTACCGAATATAGTTTATAGTAGTAAACTATAAATAAAAACTGCACGAACTTTATTAATTGCCTGAAAAAACGTTTTTTTTTTTTTTTTCTTTTTTTATGTAAGATAAGAAGGCGGTGACTGCTGTTTTTTTCCGAAAACTTATTCTGTAAATTAGTACCGTAGCTGAGTGTGCAATGTAACGAATAAAAAGGTTATTAATTTAATAGTATTTTGTAACTATCATTATGAATGTGTATAAAATGAATAATGGCTTTGTATTAATATTGATAGCTTTACAATTTTTATCGACAAGTACTGAAAGAATATTGTTTTCTATTTCATCAGAAATTGGAGCTGGAAATTATACAATTTATAAACTTGAAGAACCAGGAGATGTAACCATTGTTTTAAAAACTCTTATTGGAGATGCTGACTTATATGTCTCTGAGTTTAAGAGTAAAGCAGATTTTATGAATTATGATTTATCGTCTGCAACCTGTGGGCTTGATATTATAGGTCTTCCACATTATTTTTCAAGACCAACATTTATTGCAGTGTATGGACATATTCACTCTCCCATATCTAAATATAAACTTACAGTGATTATGAATTACAGTTCATGGGACGATTTTCATTTAAACTCTGATGAGAATAATTTTTCTGAAACACAATACGAAAAATCAGAGTTTAATGCTAATGCAGATTTAGAAGATATTAAAATAGACAATGGTTGGAGTTTTTCTAGTGTTTTATGGGGTATTTTAGAAACATTTTTAAAAATTCTTCTAGAAGTTGTTTTGTGAATTTAAAACTTTTGATATAAAGAAAAATACATTTGCAATCATTTTTGTTATAAATCACAATAATGGAACAGATATTTAGTAAGCTTTT